ACTCATTAGTATTCCACAAAATGCCAATAAAATAAATGATTTATTTGATTCTGAGGAAGACGTACCTGGAAAACGTACTATTGCTTGCTGGTGGCCGCAAAAACTTTGAATTCATTCGCATTTCTTTGTAAACTAAATTTGAAATGAGTGGACCTCAGCAAAACCAGTATGAAGAAAGAGCATCACCCAACCCATTAAATTTTTCGGAGATAACAAGAAACAAAACAGAACCCTAAGTAATTAAAAACAACTATTTATTCTTCTATATTTGTGTAATTAATTTATAAGGATAGGAAGAAAGAAAAAAGGTGCAGCTAAATGAAATTGAAACAATTTAAACGTAAATTGGTCTTGCACCTTGACAAGGGATCAAATTAGAAGAAAGAAAATTCAAAACAATAAGGACCTGAGAAGAAAATGAATCAGAAGCGCTCTAAAAACTTGATTTATTCATTCCAACTAAGTTACTATTTCAGTTACATCAGAATCATAATACATGCATAGAATCATACAGAAGTATATATGATCATGGGAAAATAATTACATGGGAAAGTTATGTCCCTCCCTCTCTCTATATGATTCTCTCTCTCCTATATATATATATATATATATATATATATATATATATATATATTCAAAGGTCACCTCCTGAACAAACAAGCATGGCAACACACTTTCTGAAGATATAGAATCTTGCTCTTTGCTCCTTAGCCAGTTTACTGCATCTCTGTGCAAAGGACTTGAAAGGGTCAAAGAGATGGCCAATGCAGCAGTTGGTGACTTTGTTCTTCATCTCTCGGAGTGGTGCTTCCTTTGAGGATGATTCTGTGGCTTTGTGTGAAGAGTAGTCTCAAGTAGTGTTCGTTTTGCCAGAGTGGATTGGTGGTGACATGAATGAGAAGAAAGAAAGAGGAAGGTTTGTTGGAAAGGTGCAGATTGTAGGAGGCTGTAGTTTGGTGGTTGAAGAAAGGTTTATATGTGATGATTTATAAACATGACGTACCAGTGAATCTGAATTATTTTTGTTACACTGTGTCCTACAGTTAGTACTCCTGTCTTATCTTACACAAATAGGTCATGCCCTTTTCATTATTATTTTAATTTAACCATTATAGTACTAGTTAAATTGTTGTAAATTTTAAGATAGATTATCATTATAAATAGTTGCATCAAATAAATCAAGAAATCAAGGTTCATTCAATATAATATAATTTGCAGAGGGTCAAATTTTCCTGAACTTGGTATTACAGAATACTGATATATATTTTATGTCATTGTAGTACAAAGGTTAAATTCAAATATTTCTAAAGAATGAACAAAATGATAGAATGAATTTGAAAAAACGAAACGGAACTTAACCAAATTTAGAAAGAATGAAAAGATATATGTAACGGTTACACTACACCCTGTACGTAAACTGCTTCTTGTTCATAACATGTTTTCTTTATATCTGGTTTTCTGATGGAAATGGTGGTGCTGCATTAACATGTATACAGAAGAAGTTATTGTGACGTGTAAATATGAGGTCTGTATACGTCACATCATCACCGATCACGATCAAATCATCAACAATTTCTGCTTACTTATCACCATTTGTCACCACCAATAGACTGTGGTTGTGAATCAGTATAGTACACTACAGTGATTATTTCGTTGATCACAGCAGTTTCCTGAATCAGGTAATCCCTAGTTATATTCAGTTCACAGGGATAAATATAGTGGCTAGGGATGTTGTAAGGAATTTCCTAAATTGTTATTATTGACAAAACATGTCATCACTGTGCATGAGAATATCATTTCGTTGAAGAAGATTGCAATTATAGCCATGAACATCACAATGTCGGTGTTTTTCTGCAGGTAATTAGAGTTAATCTTAATATTAATACAGACATTTATTCAAACATCTCAGCAAATTTTTACATGACAACATTAATAAATTACAACTTTAGTTTCTTTTAAAATACATTCAGAATATTTTTCTGAAGAAAGTGTATCTTAATTAATATTTATAATTATGAATTATATATTAATTAAATGATATTTAATATGATATTAGAGAGTGCTTTCTTTTTTTATATTTAAAAGTCTTATAATATCTAAAGAGGATAGGATCATAATAGATTTATTTTTTATTATCTGATAGTTAAAATAATAATTCTTTTTAATAATTAAATTATAAAGAAATAAAGATAAATATGGACTAATAATCAATAATTAACTATTTTTTATAAATAAAAAATAATTCTAAATTATAAACCCATCATTGCCATAATCATAATGCTTTACGTTCTTGAATATGCATATTTATCACTAGGTAAAAAACTATTAATTCTTTTTTTGATTGGACTCACCTGATCTTACTCTTAGATTGTGACTCGATTCACCGAGACATTCGTCACGGGACAATAGTGCAACCTACAAATTGAGAAAAAAAATTCTTAATTTTTTTTATCTATAAAAACATTATGAAAATTTTGAAATTTTAAATTTCTGGAATAACATTCCGAAATATATTTTAAATTGTTTCAGAAATATTATTATCTAATTATAATTCTTATTATGGGAGAATCCGGAAAAAATGATTTGAGATAATTAAAAAATAGTTTTGGATTAATTATTTTGGAATGTATTGTGAAATATTTATTTTAAAATATATTTTATAAACTATTCACAGTTTTAAATATCTAAAGTAAAACCCTGAATAGTTTATAAAATATATTTTTAAGTGAATAAACTAAAATTTAAAATAGACTTGTGTATATACATATATTTACTTCTAAATTTCTATCTTAATTATTAATTAGAATAAATATTATGAATTCTTTTAAATAATTTGACATATTAATAATAAATAATCTCATTGGTTTTGAAATATATTTTACTTTTCGCATTATTGTAATATCTAATGTCATTATAATATTTAGTACAAATGTTGCGTATAAATTATTCATTACATTTTAATTTATCTATGTTTAATATTTAATATTTAATTCTATTGTTATTATTATAAAATATTCTGTTTCTGCCGCAATTTAGAACCATGATTTCCTATCATTCCCCTCTCATCCATATTATTTCATCACAGCTATTCGGTTCTGTAGGTGAGGCTGCAGATTCAAAGCTATGAGTCCATTTTGTAAAATATAAACCACCAATTTCATCCTCAAAATAAACCATTCTTTCATCTTAAAACTTACTCTTCACCTAAGTGGTCTTAGAATTAATAAAATTATTTATACCCTGACAATTTAAATAGTCATCATTCTAGTCCGGAAGTTAATATATTTCATTAAAGTTCACGAACTAATTCTAAGGGTTTTCATATCCTCATTTTTCTCTCTGTGAGATGTTTTACTTTTCTACGGATATAGGACAATTTTTCCTTTTCTGCAATGCGCATTTTCATTAGTTGGATTCATTTAGGATGATACATACATTGAAGACACCTTCAGATTAAACTACCACGAGAATTAGTTTTTTTGTCATCTCTCCAATTAAGGTCTCCAAAGATTTAAAAAGAAAAAGAAAATCCTAAACTCTGATACCAAATTGAAAAACATAAAACTCATTTCATAATTTTTATTCATATATTTTTGTATACATATACCATGTTCTTATAGTATTTTACTCCTACAAATCAGGACTAAATAAAGAAAGTTATAATTATACAATATTTTGTACAACTATACAAACCTATAATTTAACTAATCAAATATCTTCATCTCAATAATATTCAACAATTTGTTAAACTTAATTAAGTTTTGATTGGCTTGATTTTGAACTTTTAATTGATACATGTCACCTTTGCCTACTGTATTGATTAGTTTAATTAGCAGAAAAATATTCATGTGGTTTTATTAAGGGTTTGGAAAAATAAAATAACTTTTTTTTTTGTTAAACCTAGTTTATGCACATTTTAATTTATAAATTTTTCTAGTATTAATTTATTTTAAAAAATGATTTTTAATTTATATATAAATTAATATAATTTTTTAGGGAAATTTGTTTTATTTTTCTTTCATCTATATATTTTTAGTGAAAATTGTGGAAAGAGACCCTAAATAAAAACATGGACTATAAAAGTCTCTCATATTAGTTTACACATTTTCACTTATATAAATTATAAAGAATATGCTCATTTTTGTAATTTTTATTTCAAGTCTGGTTGTGGCCAAATATGCTAATTTTTTTCCGCAACAACTTATTATTGGGAGATATTTGAATTAAATCTAAAAGTTTGAAATACCTCATCGAGTGATAATTTTTTTAAAAGATTCACATCTTCATGTGAAATAACATGGATTGTTTGTTCTTTCATTTTACCATGAATCTTGGTTCTCTCATCTTTAATGAACATAAAGTTAGCCCTTTTGAATAAAATATATAGTGTAACTCATATTTTCAAAGTACAATAAATAATGTTTTTCATACTCAACAACTATTTTATGTTAGGTAAAATATGACATTAAATTGTCAAACAATATTACCCAATAAATTTCTGCTAACGTAAATATAACACAAGAATCTAATCTACCAGTGCAAACCTTTGTTTGCTTTCGGTAATATGTTTGGTTCCACTAATCATATTTATGTTATTATAAGAATTTCTTGAGTTAAAAACTATGTTGTGATAATTTTGTAAGCAATATTTATTTGATTATATTTCATTCCAAAATTCTGCAGACAAGTTTAAGTTCCTTTCTCTGGTTTTTCTTTAACTTCATTTGTATTGTATGAAACAGAAGGTATGGTGATATCATTGAAGCATTGTACATGTAAGACGTGGTTCCTCCAGAGCAACCATTGTATGCTTGTGTGGTGATTTGTGCTAGGGCAGTGCATATGGTTGATTATCTGCTTGAGAGCACAAATAAAATGAAACTTTGCATCAATGGAAAGCATGCTTGGGCTAGAAAATATCTTCGCAAAGGTAAAAACTCACCAAAGGAAAAATCCCCAATGACTTCTCGAGCACCTTCACCAATTTCTGCAAGACCATCTTACTCATCACCAATGTCCTATCAATGTCTTCAAGTGCTTCAATTATGAGAAGATGTGAAGGTTTTGTCCTCAATATTGACATATATAGTGCTTTTAGTTTTCAATATTAGACTGATAGGGGCTTGTGTTGAGCATATCAATAGTTTTTCTGAACTATTAATTCATTGAATTTAATGTTTGGATTTTCTTGATTTCAACAATTAATGTAGCTTGTTTAAATGATTCTTATTACTTATGATTTTAACCAACTTTGGTGTTATATGCATGGTAACTGTGAATGAGATTACTGTTACTGGGCTACTGAGATAATATATTATATATGCACATATTAATTTAGAATACAAATTTAGGAAAAATAAAATAATTTACAAAAATATTTTAACATTTTTTTTGGTAAGGATAGTTAATAATAAATTGGGATTGAGTGAAATTGATAGATAGGACAAAAACTAAAATTTTAAGAGATTGTTAGAACATAAATAATGCCACCAAAAAAAAGCTAACTATAGTTTCATGGCAGACCGTTAACAATGTCAGAGACAGAAGAATTTCAGCACCCATCAACAATGTCATAGAGAGACAGAAGAATTTTAGCACCCATCAACGCAGCCAAGAGCCACGGACGGAAATCGGATTTGTTATGTGAAAGAATTTTTTTGCAGAAAACGGATGTCATGCTGCATTAACAGGGGAAATCGTTACAAACCAGAAGTTTTCCAGAAGAAATAGAAAAGAAAAAAATAAAATTGAAATTGTTTTCCAGAAGTTTCACCTCCACCAATTTCAACTTCAAATCAAGTCTTGCAAATTTCTGGTTTAAGTTAAATTCATCTCTGAGATATTCCCATATTTGAGCATATTTGGCATCTTTCCAAGCAATATCGGATCTGCAAAAGGCATTTAAATTTTACTATATTTAGGTGTCTCCACAAGGAAACTAACTAACTCGTTCACACAAATTAGGGTTTCCACATAGAAATATCATTACGAGTTTCAACTTGTAAACTAACCCGTTTCATAATCAATTTGAACCAGATTAGGTTGAAAGAAAAAATTGTCAAAAATGAACCCTATTCACTTAATGTGCGAGTTAAACAAATTTGAGATAGATTAACATATGACTATTTTTATTTGAATTTCTAATAATTTAACTCATTATCATAACTGTACCTGAGTGTGAGTTTGTGGAGAGATGCTTCGATAAGCAACCTATACTTAATCCACCTACTTTGTTGATTTAAAATAATTAAAATAAACACTAAGATAGTAGTGGAGTTATTAGATTAGATACTAGGGGAACATTGATGAAACTACAATTTGTGTTACAAAGCTAATACTTTCATTTGTTTCAAGTGTTTGTATATGTTTCAAGTGTTTGTATATGTATTTATGAGTTTGGTCTAAAAAATATTAGGTGTTCAATCTTTGGCATGAGAGAGTGTATTAGAAATCTCACATTTACTAATTATATGCTTAAAATAGAATATATAAGTGAATGTAAACCTTACCTTACACGTTGGTTTTGAGAGGTTGAGTAAGTTCAAAAAATCTTGTATAAAAAAATGTAAACCTCATCTTATGAGTTAATGTTATAAGGTTGTGTTAGACCATAAACACATTAAGAGTCTTTGATAATAATCAAGAAGTATTATTCTAAATAAGAATTTTTATATTTGCATATGATAGTATACATTTTCAGAATAATCTTACTGCTGTATTGCCCATTATAATTCGTACACATTAGTGCATATTTGTGCAGATATGTCAGTGGCAGATATGTCAACCAAACTAATTGTCTATAATTACAGTGTACTCATCTAAGAGCCAATTTGTTGAGCAAAAGCAAATTTACGATCCATTCCACGTTGTGCAATATTTATCTTCAGGTTCATTTGATATCCAGTCATCAGGGTTGTGTTTAAGAATATTGAGGCCTAATGAAAAAATTTGGGGGAGGTTTAATGTCAAAATAAAAGATTACAAACACTTAATTGCACATTATAATTAAATTCTTTAAAATCGCGGCAAAAGTGGTGGCTTGAGCCAACCCTGCTAAAGACACCAAGCCAATTTAAATATATTTTTTTTCATAAATATTTCTTAAAAAGAAAGATTGTTTTATAAAATAAATTTAACTTATACATGAATATTTTAAAAAATTAGAAATCCTAATAAAAGGAAGTTTCTACTAATTAAAATAAAAATCTTATTTTCTTATTTTAAGCTTGTTTAATAAATCTGACCAAAATTTCAAACGTCTATCTCTCCCTTGATATTGAAAAAAGTAACAATAATTGCACTTTAATTTGACATGGATGTGTACCATTAACGTACAAATACAACACGAACCAACTAACCATGGAGCCACATACGCATCAATGCTTATTTAAATGTCAAATCTTTGTTATAAGATCCATTTTAACAGTTTTCATTGTTCTTCTACTTCTTCCTCTCCTCCATAGTTAATACTAATGCTAAAAATATTAATTTCTGATACAATTTCAATCTCAGATCATAATTATAGTCCTGTAATTTTGATTTTGAATTCATCAATTCTCATTCTTTCTATCTCCTATAAACTGATGGAAATGTAAGGTGGTTGAGAAAAAACACGGTTTGCTTCAACACTTGAAAGTCATCTAGTTGACAAAATATAAAGACAATGTAAGGAGTAGTTAAATCATATAAATAATCTGAGTTAAAGAAAAAAAATTCAACATAAAAGAATTATTATTTATAAAGAAACGTGATAAGTTAATAATTAGGTAATAAATAAAGAAAAATTGTTGTGAAAGCAGCGTGTCTTATGGACATCCAACCACCTTAAGCTGGTTACAGGAAGTGAGAGAGTTGAAACAAGTGAAGAAGATTAAGTTGACAATAAAATGATTGATCCACTCAGATATTGAACTTTCATTCCAAAGTACGTTTTGTCATTTGTGTTGAAAATGGTGCATGGCATGTCCACGTCCAACCATGTGTTGTTCTCTAGGGTTCATCTGAATCAAAACATAATTTATATGTTTTGAAGTGTGTTCAAAGTTCCACCACATATCACCATGCTCTTTCTCTGTAATCTTCCACTTCTCTCCTTCAACTTCTTAATTACCATTTTGCCCACCACTAACATCATTGTGTTACTAATTATTATTCACTCATATATATATTAGTATGCCACCATTATCACTATTATTACTATTATTATTATTATTATTATTATTATTATTATTATTATTATTATTATTATTATTATTTCAATTCAATCATGACAACAATAATATAGACCCATAATCTTGTTTTGGTTATTTAAATACTCAGAGTTACAATTTGATTTTTATCATAAAACGACATTAACCTTAAAACTTCCCTTTATTTAGTGGAAGTTACGACAAAATAGAGTTGTGAATAAAAAAAGCTAACTAAAATTAACAACGATTAATCATATTTTTCAGTAGAATAAAAAAAAGATAATACATATTTGACCCATAATTCTAACATATTTTGATTGGACCAAATGGATAATACTTTTTCTATAGTTACCCAAAATCCTTCGACAGTTTTGTTCCCTTAGATACTAAACATATCATGAAATAAACTTTAGAATGATATATAAATAAAATGAATTACATACTAATTTTTATAAAAATTCTTTTCATTTAATTTGCTAAAAGTGAAAAAAAAAATTATAACTTGATTTTATTATAAAAACATATATTTTATCCTTTCAAAATATATAAAGTTTAAGATTAGATTATATGTCCTAAAATAAATATTAATTTTCATTGTTCTTCTCACCTTAGTTTTAGTCCATCAATCCATTTTGGCACGATCTACTTTGTGAATATGACGAATTAAAGGTTAAAGTGGTTTGACCCGTTGATCTCTTTTAAAAATATTTATATATTAAAATTAAAATTAAAAAAAAATTAATTAAAAAAATTAATTAATGTGTCATGACATGTAATTATAATATTATAATTTAAAATAATAAATTCAATTTATATTATTAATTATAAATAATTATTTTAACTCACAAATATAATAATTTATCCAATAAAAATATTAACTAAAAGTATATATTTTTTAAAATTCATATAATTTTTTTTTATATAAATAAAATATCGACGGAGTGAAATGATGGTAAACTTGTAAAGGTCATCGTCCTCCCTTAAATATATGTTATATTAATATATAATTAATAATTTTTATTTTATTATTTTAAAAGAAAAGTAAATTTTGATAAATTGGTACCTAAGCTTTTTGTCTCTGCCTTTTATTAGAAACAAAATTTTTTATTCAAATATATTGAAACAAAAATAGAGAGAGAAAAAAAGACTAACTTCTCCTTATAACTTACATTGATTGTCGCTCTCCACCGTGATGGGATGTTTTTTAATTGTTAGAGAAGGTTTTGGGTGAGAGTTAAAGGTGTATGTTATTAGAGAGAGGCAACTGTGGCCTTAAATGTGGGTGTCCCGTGTGAATCACTAATATGACTCCATTATTGTCCTTTAATTTGGGTGTACATAACAGAATTGTCCCAAGGGAAACATATTCGTTACACATCACGGTTAAATCACTCTTCACAATTCTACTACTTTCCTTCGTCAAGTCAACCATTCTTCGCCTTCCAATTTTTGTGATACCAAATCAACATCTGGGTTCTATCTTCTATCCCACAACATATTTTTACTTCCCTTCTATAATAATATCATTCCTTTATTTTAATACTTTCAATTTTTACTTTTGTGAAAGAATATATACTTAAAAAAAAAATTAAAAACCACTCATCAACATAATTATCATATTTCAACTTAGTATATATATAATTCTTCCTAGTTATTTTGTATTGTAATAGACATCTGGTTAAGATAGGTATAGGAAAAAGTTTAATATTGTTTGCTCTAATTTTCATAATATGATTTATATATATATATATATATATATATATATATATATATATATATTGCTGTACTTTGTTCATTATTATATTAAAATCTGATATGGTATTTGAGTTTATAACTCTTCTTAATTATAGTTTGTTTTAATAGATATTTATCACAAGAATTTTTAAGAGAGTATGGAAATATTTAAATCAAATTTTTTGCTTTTAATTAGTATTAAGTTAAAATTTGACATTAATAATCTCAAATTAATTTTTATATTGAATTTGATGAGTAAATTAGATCAAGTGAGATTGCGATAAACCAAATCGGTAAGATATGGTTTGATTAAGACAAATTGTATTATGTCAGAAAGGTTAAGTAAAGTAGAGTTATACTGATATGTTAGAATAAATTAGGTCATGTTGGGTTTTGTTAGATGAGTAGAAACGAATTAGACCATGTCAAGTTGAATTTGGTCTAGATGGATCAAGTCGGGTTGTAAGTGAATAGAACAAAACAATATTAGATAAAGTGGGTCAAGTCAAGACAATATATATATCGAGTGAAAAACATTTATATTAAAATGAATTGGGTCAAATCAAGATGATAGTCAAGTTAAGATAGATTGGATCGAGGTGAGTCAAGCTTACTTTGGCTAATTGGATTGAACCTAATCATGATGAGTTAGATCAGGTTAGCACAAGTCAGGTCAAAATGGGTTGGATCGAATCAAGATATGTTAGATCAAGTCTATATAAGATGAATTAGATTGAAAATAATCGAGTCACGATAGTTTAATGATGGTCATAATATATTCGATTTGTTTGAACCAAGTTAAGACAGGTTGAGTTCGAGCTAGATCATGTTAATCTAAATCGAGTTCGGTTGATCGTGTTGAATAGGTTAAGTATGAGTCGAAAATATAAAGAAAAAAGGCATAATTTTGAGAAAAGAAAAAACATGGAGAATTTTAAATTCTTAATTTTTAGGTGAAATTTGAAATTATCTTATTTTAAGTAATCAAAACAACCTCATCAATTTCTAAAATTTCAATTACATTTCAAATATCTAAAAATAACCAATTTTACATCTCAAATACTTGTATTAAAATTATTATTTTGAAAACTAAACTAGATCAACTGGTTCAACCGGTCTAAAAATCAGTTCGTTAATTCCAAATAATCAGATTTTAGTTAAATTAAGATAAAATTTAAAAAACCAGAATAAAATCGATAGAACCAAAAAATCGGTTGGATTTTTGGATCAAACCGATTTTGCTAAAAAAAGTTATATAATTTTTTATAAAAATATAATATATTTTTTTATCTCATATTAATTATACCTCAACTTTAAATAATAATAAATATTTCATACTTTTATCTTATTTTAATAATTATTTATCTTACCTCCTCTAATATATTTTATATTTATAATCTTCATTGTAACTTCTAATGATGATTAATGATAATAATCTTTATTATTTTATTTTGTAAACAAATATTCTTAGTAATAAACTTATTATATTAAATATTATTTTATTAAATTTGATTGGATTTTAATTGAACTTTTAAATCAATTTGATTTTAAAAACATTAATCAAAATTAGCTATCTTTTATAAATTCCTACTCCATATACAAAAATATATTAAATTAAAAATATAAACTAAATATTGGATAAGTTAATTGGAGAACTGACATTTAAATATAATAAGTAATAAGATATATTAGAAAATGAGGACCATAATAAATAAATATATATATATATATATATATAATTTTGCTCTCAAATTTAATTATTTATATATATATTTATAATTTTATTTTTTTATTTTTACATATTTATTTATTATTTAACTCAAAATCAATGATAAAAATCTATATCTCATCATAACCATCTCATAATAATTAAGGACCTAAAAGTCGAAATGATCGTAATTAATATATATATATATATATATATATATATATATATATATATATATATATATATGAGGTTTCAATGTTTGAGAATGAACCTTAATTAAGGGCAGGTTCGGGGCAGATGATTAGACAAAATAACGAGAGGGACAGGGTAGACAGTCCCACATGTTTGAAAAAGGTTGGGAAAAAGTGGCAGGATTTATGATCATTCATTTTTTAGCAAACCTACACCTCTTCCTTGCCAGTTAACAAATAATACAATCCCATACAACGTGTGCAATTTTTAGTCTTTAAGACGTAAGACTCACTGTGTTCTCCAACTTTTTTGTTAGTTAAACTCCCAACAAAGCATTACAAGATGCATGCTACGGCTTAAGCTCCTCTGTTTCGCATTAATAATTAGGGTTCAGCTTTTGTTTTAATGCTTCTTTTCTTCTCCTCATAAATATCTCTATATATGCAAACTCCCCATTGATTTTTTATAACTCACACACCTTTTCTATGCAATAATGTCACTTTAAACAATCATTCTTCCCTGCCTCAACTTTACTCTTTTTATCTTTATGCAAAAATCACCTATATACGTGTCATTTATATTTATTGTCAACTTATATTTCAATAAATTTATTAATCTAAATATGAAACTGTATTAATTAATCTAAGAAACAATCATCATTATGTACCAAGTGTTGATATCAAATTTTACACTAAAAATGCCACAATAAATAGGTACCAAGTTATTTCTCTTCTTTGTAACTTTTATATATGTAATAGAAATTAAATTATTAATATAAATAATTTGAGTTAAATTAGTTGAATGATAATTAGGATTAACAAAATTTTGTCCATTAGAGAAATTGGCCTTAGTATCAAGGCATTAATTATTAATGTAATGCATTAGAATAATTTTATAATATTAATATTTAGTTTCTTACACTACAAAAAAAAAGTCTATTATCTATAAAATATTATCTACTGGATAAAAATTTGTAGGTAAATTTTACATTACCTATGGATAAAAAAATCCGTAGGTAAATTGTACATTACCTACGGATATTACCTATGAAATTCTATCAGTGGGTAATTATCCATTACCTACAGATATTATCCGTAGGTAAATTATATTTAATTGTCTGTAAGTTATCCATTACCTATGGATCGTAGGTAATGTCATCAGTGGTAATTACCTACGGAATTACTATCCGTAGGTAAATTATATTTAATTGTACGTAAGTTATCCATTACCTATGGATCGTAGGTAATGTCATCAGGTGGGTAGTTTTGTAGGTAATTACCTACGAAATTACTATCCGTAGGTAAATTATATTAAACCACTATAAGAATTGTTACTAGCAAGAATCGAACTCAATACCACCTTAAAGTTGAAAACTAATACTTCAACCACTAAACTATTAGGATATTCTAATAATAATTTACAAATAAATTATACTTATATTTATTTGTGTAAATATATAAATATAAATATATAAATATAAATATATAAATATAAATATAAATATAAATATATATAAATATAAATATATAAATATAAATATATAAATATAAATATATATAAATATAAATATATAAATATAAATACATAAATATATAAATACATAAATATATAAATATATAAATACATAAATATATAAATATATAAATACATAAATATATAAATACATATAAATACATAAATATATAAATATAAATATATAAATATATCAAAATATAAATATATTTTATATTTATATATATTTTATATTTCTATATTTTATATTTATATATTTATATTGGATAAATATAAATATAATTTATTTGTATAGTTATTATCAAAATATCCTAATAATTTCTATATGTGGTTGGAGTATCGATGTTTCTAATTCTACAGGTATTAAATTCGAATCTTATCGTAATGATCAATATCCTTACTCTAATAATAATAAACGTTTTTTTTGGTAGTGTTAAAGAAAAATTTCATTAATAAAATTAGAAGTATTAACACATCAAAGATGGGTGAAATAAGATAAGTTAGAAAAAAAATTATGGCATAAATTTAATCAGGTTAATTTTTGTCCCATCTTTTTAAATGAGGTCTAAATAGATATAAGTAAGGTGAGATTTAAATGGACTTAAATAAAAATAATAATATTTCATTATAAATATTTATGTATTATAAATTAATTTATTAAAGAATTTATTATTTTTGAATAAATATAAGAGTAAGCATATAATTCTCATTTATTTCATAATTTAATAGTTAATATGAATTATTATTTTTATAATATTAAATTAAAAAAATGAATAATAATAATAATAAATAAATAAATTTTTATTTTAAAATAAATAGATCATTCTTTTATAATTTATATATTAAATTATTATATAAAAATAAAGATTAATTTTATTAATATAACTTAAATTTTTTAAAAACATATTTTACATTTTTATTTAATTTTTTAATTATTTATTTTTTCTTTTCAATTATTTTAAATTTGACCTATTAATTTATATCAAATTAGACTTAAAATTATAATGTGAAATTATTTCTGGTGAAAATTTGGGTTGTTTCGATTTTCTAAAGACTTAGGTTCTAACCAATCACGTAAATTCTTTTTATTTAGGCTAACAAACAATTTTTCAATCAAAAAATGTATGTAAATCGAGAATATAAAAATATCGAGCAAAATAGATGAAACCAAACGCGTATATTAGAAATACGGAAAGCGTGATAAAGCATACATATTGAAATCGAAAGTTCTCTTTTTGTATTTTTTTTATTAAAAGACTTGAGAATATGAAATTTAACAGAAGTAA